TTCTTTAAAAAGATGGAATACTTACATATTTAGAGGTGGAATGTCATGATGTCTACAATTTATTTTGAAATACCTCATCTTAAAAATAAATAAAGTAGATTAAGGGACATATCCAATTGACTTGCTGCAAGTTTGTGTCAGAGAAAAGCCAGAAGGTCTTCCACTAATGTAAAAGTATATCAGCAAGGTGGTGTGGTGCTTAAGAAACAGGTCTCAGGGTCCAGAGCTTTGATTAGAAGCTCAGGTACACCAATTATTAATCATGTGACCTTAGCTTCTACTCTGTGCAATGGTTTCCTAATCTATAAGACTACCTATAGAGTAGTTTTAAGGATTAAATAAATACATATAAATGCACATAGTGCTCAGCTCATAGGAAATAATAAAGATAGTTGTTATCGTTAGTGGAAGTATATAAATTCTAATTCTACTATTTATAGTACTTTATCCTTTAAGGCAATAACTGAAATTCAGTCTTATGGTAAATAAAACACCGACAGGCCAACAGAGCAGCCTGCTATCAGATGAAGCAAGTGGATGTTCCTGTGCTTCATGATCAATAGCTTTCCCCTACTCACTCAGAGCAGTTCTGTATTATAAACACAGTGGTCATGACAATGTCAACTGTACTCCCCAATTAAAACAAATTTGATAGTGCAATGAGGAATTATGGAGATTTAATGCATGCTAAAAAGCCTATACCTACTAGTAGTATTAGCAACTCAATCTCTCTGAGCCTTATTGACATTATATTATTATTATTATATAATACATTACATATATTATGGATTCTATAATATGAGAGGATGACTATGAGGCCTAGGTAAGGTAGCACACATTAAACATACAAGACTGAGCTTGGTGGAATTCTCTTTACCCCTTTCTCTAGTATTAGTGATGCTTATACTTGCCAGAAAGACCAGAAATTAAAACTGAGGATAAAAGAAGGACAAAAAAACCCCTATGTTAAAAAAAAAAAAAAAAAAAAAAGACATCTCAAATTTAGTAAAATACGTAAGTACAGTCATGACAGGAGTTGCCATTTAGTAAAGACTAAGAACTAAAACCAGGATGTACAAGAATAGGACAATGTGACCAGGTCATAAATTCTGCACAAAGCTGGCACTAAGTAAATGTATGCTATAGAACAATATCTAATGAGTCTATTTCTGATTTAAAATAACTCCTTCTTATAACAGAATAAAACATGCAAAGTCTTATATACCTTCAGCATTTATACTGAGTTCTGTTGAATTTTCTTCTGCAGTTGCATATGGATTGTTTCCAACCATTGGCACAAGACAATCGGTATAGAAGTAACCAATCTTACACATATTCAGTGTAGAAATAATCAAATCTATTGCAAGCTGGCCAACATTTCCAACAGATACTGCTGGCTGAAATAATAAAAAGTGTTCATTAAATCATCAAAATTAGCAGCACTTTTAAAAGCGTAGACAGAAGACAATAATCACAGGACTACATTTAAATGGTTATGCTCAGGTGCATCATAGCTAGATATGGACTCTTTGCATTAGCTTCAACAAGGTGTCAGCAGGGGCTTCTACTTTGGAGACTACTGGTTTAATATTTATTGAACACTGACTATGTGTGAATCATTGCTTTAAGCACTAGGAATGCAGGAAGACAAATTGATAAAAATTCCTGCCCTTGTGGAACTCTCATTCTAGTAAGGGAGTAGTTTAATATAATAAACAAAAAAGTGAAATACAGGCATACTTTATTTTATTGCGCTTGAAGGTTTGTGGCAACCCAGCCTCAAGCAGGTCTACTGGCACCATTTTTCCAATAGCATTTGCTCATTTTGTGTCTGTTACATTTGGGTAATTCTCTCAATATTTCAACTTTTTCATTATTATTATATTTGTTATCATCTGACCTGTGGTCAGTGATTATGAATCACTGAAAGCTCAGATGATGGCAAGCATTCATTAGCAATAAAGTATTTTAAAATCAAGGTATGCACATGTCTTTTTAGACATAATGCAAACTTAATACATGACAGTATAAATATAATTTTCACATCTACTGGGAAACCAAATAATCCACCTGACTTGCTTTATTGTGATATTTACTTTATTGCTGTGATCTGAAACCAAACCCACAATATCTTCAAGGTATGCCTGTACACATAGGTAAGTGCTATGGAGAAAAATTAAGTGAGAGCGTGTATCTGTTTGGTTGCAATTTTAAATAGGGTATTAAGAAAAGACTTTAGCTGAATAGTTAACAATAGACTTGGAAGACTTAAAGAAGACAGCCATGCAAAGACCAGGGAAAAAAACACTTCAAGAAGCAGGAATCAAGGCTTCTTGGGTCATCTTTCCCTTTGCTTTGTTAGTGCATAAAGGTTAGAGTCACCTTTTTGTGTAAAACACACACACACACAAATATTTACCTCCATGACTTCAAACAGAGCAACTGCCAAATCTCTACTATCACCCAGAACATTTATCTGAACTCGAGACTAATGGATATTTCCCCATGGTTCTCTCATAGGCAATGCACATTCAACACGTAGAATACTAAACTGTTGCCCAAACCTGTCCTCATATTTTGTATTTCAGAAGAGAAACAATTATTCAATTACCTAAACCAAGAAACTTCTTCCTTTTCTCTTATCAGCTACTTTTAATATGTCTAATTTTCATTGATTTGTACTTCCAAAGTATCTCTTTAATATAGCTCTTCCTTTGATTCTTCTAGCAATTGCTTTTGTTCCCTCCTTCATCTTATTTTTCTGGGTCGCTCAGAGTGGTCTCCCACTTCTAATCGCTCTCCTCTACTAATCTGGTTATCTTCTGTAATTCCCTTACCCTTCCCAAGGATTTTGCTACTTAGGTTAGACCCTTTCTCTCCCGTATCATCTACCCTTTCCTCACTATTGGATTCTTCTCGTCAGTATATACACGTGCTATAATCTTTCCTTCCAAAATACCCTCCCTTGATTCTACATACTCCCCTAGCTACCACCTCACTTTTTGGTGTCTCTCCATAACCAAAATTCCCCACAGCTGTCCACTAAAGCATAAGGAGGAACTTCATCTCTGAATTAATGAACAGATATGCACACACACACACAACACACATATATGTATGTATATATACACACACACTTCTCTCTCTTCTTCTATTTATTCAACCAGCTCAATATGGCTTCCCACTCTTTACCACTTTACTAATAATATCAGGGTTACTGCCAATAATCTCTTAGACATTACTTTCCCTACGAATCTGCCAGATATCTCCTTGAAGAATGCTTTCTCTTTTGTGATTAATAAATATTTTTCAGGGAGATACTGTGAAATAATATAAAATTTCCTTCATCAGTCACATCCTCACACGTGAATTTTAACATTTGCTGATATTTCTTACATGCATCATAAAGGTGAGAATTGCCCCAAAGTGATTATCATCATTTTAAAAGTTAAGATATAACTGATATATAACAGTGTATCAGTTTCCGGTATAAACATAATAATCTGAAATATACACCTATTATGAAATGATTACCACAATAAGTTTACTTAACATCAACCACACAGTTACAAATTTTTCTTGTAATGAGAACTTTTAAGATCTACTCTTAGCAAATTTCAAATATACAATACAGTACTATTAATTATAGTCACGATGCTGTACATTATGTCCCCAGGACTTACCTATAACTGGAAGGTAGTACTTTTTGACTATCTTCACTTATTTCATCCAAGCAGCTCTCATCCTCACCTGCCTCTCACCAACCTGTTCTCTTTATCTATAAAGTATTTTTATTTTTTCTTTTTCAGATTCCACATATGAAGCTTTTTTTAATAGGTCCCTGTGTCCCTCCCACTCCCAACGAGTCCTAGGGTTCTTCTGTACCCTTTACAAAGCGTTATCCTAGCATTTATTGCCCTTATTGGTTTACGTGTTTCCAACTAGACTGCACACTCCTTGAGGACAAGGACCTCGTCTTATTCTAACAGCGTTACATAATACACTGTTCATTGAAACAGTGACTGAATATGAGCAATTTTAGGAGCAATAAAACCGTGTGTTAGGTACTGGCAAGGTTTCCTTTTCTGTAGTTATCTGGTTAATGACTAAGCCCTGCCAGCTTAAGAGTGGCTCTGCTACTACCTGGGGGGGGGGGGGGAGATTTTCTAGGATACAAAGAAAACTCCTCGCACACCCTAAGTACAACGTCACCTGTAATAATCAAACACATTACGTTTTACAGTCAAGACTACAAACTCTAGTCTCAGAAACGTTTGGTGACAGCGCCAACACATTCTTTCTGCAGCTCCGCCTCCAGCGACAACCTCCCGGTTTTAAGCAAGAACCATCTTCTGTCCCAAAGCGGGTGACACACCTCTAGGCGCGGTGGCGGCCCCCCAGCGCCTCCCGACAGGAAGCACCCCAAGCCGGGCAGGCGGAGCTCGAGAAAGCGGGGACTCACCATGAGGAAGGTGAAGCCCGCGAGGTCGGGGGCAGAATCTCCGCAGGGAACAAACATGGTCGTACTGAATGGGGAGGACTGAGTGAGCGTCGGCGTGGAAGAACCGCAGGCGATTCGAGGGCGAAACAACGAGCTGCGCGCCGCGTCCGCGCGCCGGAGTCCCCAGAGCCCCTAGCGGCGGGGGCGGGGTCCGTCGAGCCGCTCGGCGTGGGGTCCTGAAGGGTCCGTCCAGCTACCTGCCGGTCCGCAGTGCGGAACTGGCCCGCGAGTGGGGAAAAGATGGGGGCCGGTAGCTCCTGCGGGGGCCCCGGCAGGGCAGGGCGATGGGGGACGCTGAGGTCGCGGGATGGCGACCCCGAGGGTGGGGAGAGGCAGGTGGAGGTGGTCAGGCAGGGCGGGGGGCAGCCCGAGACCCGGTAGTCCGCGCCGTTTGAAAGCAACAGTTGAGCGCCGCCGCCGCCGTCGCCGCCAGCGCCTCGGCTCCCGCCCAGCCGGGCCTGACGCGGCGTCGCGTCCCCCGGGAGCTGCGCGGGGCCGGCAGTCGCGCCGGCTCTGCTCAGCCGCGACTGGCACTCCGGGGCTGGCCGGGGAGCGCTCGAAGCGGGGAGAAGCGCGGTGAGGCGCCGGCCCCAGCATGTCGCTGCCTCCGGAGAAAGCCTCCGAGCTGAAGCAGCTCATCCACCAGCAGCTGAGCAAGGTGAGGGCCCGGGCGGGACCGGGCACCGCTTTTGGTCCCGAGGCCCGGCCGACGGGCGGCGCCTGTTTGCCGGGGACGCGAGCGCAGGCTCTGGGGCGCAGAGCGCGGGCGGGTGGGCTCCGGGTGTCCATCCGGGGCCGCTCTCTAGCCTCGATGAAAGAGAACAATGCAGGCTAGTGCTGGCGAGGTTGAGGTGACGGAACGTGGGAGACTGATCGCACCGCTGTGAGAATAAAACATTCATCCCGCGGTTTCCGGAGATCAGATCGAGTAGAAGTTGTGTTTGGAGCAGGTGTGTATATTTCAGAGATCTGGAATTAGAATTACTTTAAGGGTGAAACTTGTGTCTTTCAAGTTGAACCAAATCAGCAATTCTTAAGTCATCAAAGGGAAGTTACTGAAGGACTTGCAACGAAAAGTGTGATACTGCGAAGCTCAAGAACATTGTTGAGGTGCTCAGCCTAATGCAGTAAGCTGAAATAATAAAAGCTACCGTTTATTGTGCACTTGTATGCCAGACTTTGTGCTCAATGTGCAGCACTTTTTTTTTTGGCTAAGCCTCACAATAGTCTTGGCAGGGCACTATTTTTTTCCCCAGAATCATAAAGGGTGAATAAGTTAACTCAGGGTCACGTCTAATAAGCAGACCTTGATCTTCTCCAGGTCTGTGTTCTTTTGATTATATTACATCCATTCCCTTTCAAAAGGTCTGTTTCGGTTGAGTGTTATTTGTGGGGAACTGGTAACAAAGGTGGTAGATAACCAGTAGACCTTATTCCTAGAATTTGCACTAAAAAAATTCATCCTAATTGTTTTTTTTTTGGTTTTCTTTCTTTCAAAAATCTTAACTGCATTCTCATTGAATTCTGGCAAAAATTTTACATTTACTATTAACTTGAGAAGCCTTCTTGAATTTTGTCTATTCACTCGCCCATCGTTTGTTTTTCCTTTGGGTGTTTTAGAAAGAAATTAGCTAATTGGCAATGTTTGATGACTTTGTAGTGTAAATTGTAATGCGAGTTTTCTACATAGATGGATGTCCATGGCAGAATAAGAGAAATCCTTGCCGAGACAATACGGGAAGAATTGGCACCTGATCAACAGCAGTTATCAACTGAAGATTTGATCAAAGCCCTTAGACGTCGGGGAATCATTGATGATGTGATGAAAGAACTTAATTTTGTTACTGTGAGTAATCTTTTAGGGGAAAGGTTTTGAGAGTATGTTCTCATGCTTAATGCCGCTTATAGGGCCCATATTTGGGGCCTCTTTTTCGTAAAACCGCTTTAAAATGAGACAGTTTGGGGCGCCTGGGTGGCTCAGTCGGTTAAGCGTCCGACTTTGGCTCAGGTCATGATCTCACAGTTGGTGGGTTTGAGCCCCACATTGGGCTCTGTGCTGACAGCTCAGAGCCTGGAGTCTGCTTCAGATTCTGTGCCTCCCTCTGTCTCTGACCTTCTCCTGCTCATGCTGTCTCTCTCTCAGAAATAAATAAAAACATTAAAAAAATTTTTAAAAATAAAATGAGACAGTTTGGGGGCGGCTGGCTTGCTCAGTCGATAGAGCATGGGACTCTTGTTGGAGTCCCACATTGGGTGTAGAGATTTCTGAAATATAGTATCTTTAAATAAACTTAAAAAATAAATAAAAATCTTAAAAGTAAGATAGTTTTATCCTTAGTAATATCCTTCAAATATAAGCAAACTCTACCCTTGAAAATAGCAAGTAGGATTATGTATCAATGAGATTAGAGTTACATTCCATATTCCTCTCTCTACAGAATTTTCTGTTGTTATTTTCTAGGTCTGTAACTTTAAGTGTACATATTTTAGTTAAATTAGTTCACCATAACCCAGTTCTTTTTCACTAGTAATTGTTCTATAATCTTTTTGATTAGGCATATTTTTTAAATAAACACATTCTTTTGGAACTCCGTTCTCTATGATTAACAAATCAGCGATTTCTGTAAGGAAATAGTTGCGTAAGCACCTTCAAATCTCTTCATACAAATAGGTCAGTAATGGGATGATAGCCTCTCAGTGCACAAATTAGTAAGTAGGCCTTTTGAAAATGAGGCAATAATGAGAAACTGTGACCTCAATACCTGAGTATTATAATGTAAAAATTGGATGGACTGCATAATACGTCAGGGAATAAGTTTTTTAATACAGTCTCTTTTTTTGGTTTTTGAGGTTTATTAACCCATATGTTTAAAAATTGACCCAATAACAGCTTTGCTATGTGAATGTAATTTCCTTGTTAAAATTAGTTCATGGTAAAATCATAAGCCAAATGTTAGGCTTAGAAAAAGTTTACCCTTGTTGAAGACATTAAGAATTTGTTTTTAGCATTCTGTGGACATTGGTTGAATACTGTCTATTTCCCTGTTAAACTTTAGGAGTGACCAGTAACATCACCCTTTTTGCAGACTTTTCATTATTTTAATTATGTAATTATTTAATTAGGCTGGGAAAAGTTTCCTTGAGGGGGATTTATTGAATTTACTTAGTCCCATTGTTGGCATTTCCTTGCTTAGCTATAATTTTTGTTTTCTAATTTTTCATTTTTTTCCTGCCTTTCTAGGACAGTGTTGATCAAGAACTCCCTTCCTCTCCAAAACAACCTTTTTGTTTCACTGATAGACAATCAACGTTAAAAAAAAGTATGTGTGTTTCTTTTTAACATTGATTTCATTTTGGATAGTACTGCATATTGATGTACTGTAGTGTTTGGTATTTGATAGAAAACATTTTTTCTTTCCAGAGTGAAATACTTATATTTTTATGATTAATCATCCAAAAAAATTTAGATTCTGTTTTGCATGAAGTGTGTTAGAAGATTTAATGTATAGCAGAGTGGAAGCAAAAACAGGATCACCTGTTGCTCATGTTTTAATAATGTATTTTATAAACATTGTACAGCCTGCTTTTTTAATGGTAATTACCTAACAAGTATGCTTGTTGAGCTGGTATTTGTCTGAGTTGGTTTGTGGAGGAGGAGGAGTGTTGGATAAGCAACTAAAAAGTAAACGTTTCTTAAGCCTTGGCTCTGACTCCTTTCTAGCCGGGAGAGAATAGCCAGCATATAAACTGAGATTAAAAATATTTTTTTTGTATCTTTTCTTCCCTAGTTGCAAAAGGTCCTGGTATATAGTAAATGTGTTACTCTTTATTTAGTCTTTGATTTTATTTCTGTCAAGTTATTATTTCCTGTTGTCTTGATCACATTCCTTACGTTAATTTGGCAGTTTCCTCATATATATTGCTACACTTTACAGCTAATATTGATCCAACACGGAGGTATCTTTACCTTCAGGTTTTGGGTGGAAAAGCTTTCTTGGAACATCTACAAGAACCTGAGCCTTTACCGGGACAAGTTTGTTCAACCTTTACTTTATGTTTACATTTTCGAAACCAACGTTTTCGTTCTAAACCTGTTCCATGTGCCTGTGAACCAGATTTTCATGATGGCTTTTTACTTGAAGTACACAGAGAAAGCTTGGGTAAGAAGCAATAATAAATTGTCATTTAATTGAGTAAATCTTCATTAGGTATTATTGCAGAACAACTGTAACAACTTTTGCTGTAAGGAGAGATTTGAAATGAGTGAATTTCCCTAGGTTTTTTTTTTTTTTCTCTTTTTTATAAAAACTACTTCCACCTGTCTTCTTACTTTATTTCCTGATAGTTAAGTTTCCCTGAGGATTATTTTTTACTGCTTTAATGGTTGCCTCTTTTGTAATAAACATTTAAATGCCTATTAGGTGCATTATACGATGCTAGGCGGTGCTGAGGATATATTGGAGGATGAGACATAGTTCTCATTTATAAAAGATGGCTAGATTTATGATGTCATGTAACTTCAAAAATAAAGTTTAGATGGAAATCTATAATTCTCATTTTTGTAATTTTAAAATTATATTTGATTCCTGTAATTGTTCTACATGGCTTCTGTAAATGTATTTTATGTTTTAGTTAGCAAACTTAGCAGAATTACAGAACTACCTTCAGAATTTTAGGTTATTAAAGTGGTTAATACATTATAAAAAAGGTTTTTTTCCCCTCATGAAAAATATTGTCCTAATTAGGCTGTTAATGACTTACCATGCTGGCTCCGAGTTGCTGGGTCTTTCAGTTTTGTGTAGATGATACGGTGATTATTTCTGGAGGTTTAGGGATAAAGGTAGTTTGGCAATTAATGTTGACATAGTGGAAGGCTTTTTATTGTAGTAGGGTAGATTTTAGTTAAGTACTTTTTTTTTTTAAGTTTATCTTATTTATTTTTGAGAGAGTGTGTGTGCACACACAGAGGTGGGGGAGAGAGAGAGCGAGAGAGAGAGAATCCCAAGCAGGCCCTGTGCTGTCAGTGCAGAGCTTGATGTGGGCCGCAAACTCCTGAACCAAGAGATCATGACCTGAGCCAATATCAAGAGTTGGACACTCAACTAACTGAGCTACCCAGGCTCCCCTAGTTAAGTACTTTTAAAGAACAGACTTATCTCTTAGGGATTGGAAAACCCTGATATGCATTGAGTAACTAAATGACTCATCACAATTATTCCAGTTTTCTCAAAAGTGAGTGACAAAATTGGGATAGTACTTCTTAAATAATTTGTTGCCTGCTTTCTAAGGCATACCAAATTATGTCATTTGGTTTTATATAAGATTATTATTAGTATCCTTTGCATTAGAACTATTCTTCTATGTTGGCCTTAATGGAATATGTAATGTGGTGTATTTGTTTGGTTTATGTTGCCAGGTGATGGAACTAGAATGGCTGATTCAACAACAATGTTATCAATAAGTGATCCCGTTCATATGGTGCTAATCAAAACAGACATATTTGGTGAGACTACTTTAGTAGCCTCCTATTTTCTTGAATGGCGATCAGTTTTGGGCTCAGAAAATGGAGTGACCAGTCTTACTGTGGAACTTATGGGTGTAGGTATGATGACTAATCACTGTTACCTTTTTGTTACCACAGTTTGTAAATTTTATGTTTTCTGAATGCCTTAAACTAAGAAGGAAGCATGTAAAAATTTCATTAGAATTACAGTTGGACTCCAGTATTATAGACTTAGGATGTCTTGAAGTGTGTTATGACTATAGAACATCACAGTCAATCTGACCTTGTTTTATGGAAAAATTTTTTTATGGGAAATGAATAGAGAAATTTTGAGGACTTTTATTTTTCCCCTCCAGATTGGTTTGATTATATGTAAGGCTATAAAGAAAACTAAGATTTTTCACACATGTGCACGCATGCATATGCAAAAATCCTCCAGTTCAGCACACTCCAATATACAATGCATCCCTATTAGTACTAGTATCTTCTTACAGCAGTAATTCTTTCAGAATGTGGAGTTGATATTCTTCCAACCTTTTACATGTGGGAATGTAGGACTCAAAGAGGTGCTAACTTGCTCATTGATAGGATCAGTGAGTGAATAGTACTCTTTGAGGACAGAGGTGGTGCCTGTCTTACCATTGTCTCCTTGGACTCTTTCATACTTTTGATGTGTAATATATACTGTATTTGCTAATAACAGTGAAAAACAAAATGAAACCTACCAGTATTTTATGCCTAACCTATAAGGGAATTACGTTGGTGATAAAACTAAGTCACAGAATCAAATCATAGTAGTGACCAAGAAACAAGTATATTATAATTCACCAGTGAAATCGTAAATAGTTCTGGTATAAAGTACATTTGTTTTCTAATTCCTTTAAATTCAGGCAAGGATTGAAAATTTGTATTCACATATGATGTGAAAAATGGGAAGGGATAATGGGAATTGCTGTAGGTAACAAAGAGTATAAATATTTTCTGAGAATGAGATTTTAACTTTTGCTTTGACTTTGTTTTTAACGTTAATCTGGTTGGTATACATTTAATGAGAGTAAAAATTAAGAATCTCAAATCCATTAGATCCAAAAAGTCCCTTAAAATGTGATTAGGAAGCTCAGAAAATAGGTAATCTCCTTATAATTAGATAAAAGCCTTTGTGCAAAATAAAAACTAATTTGATCTGGCTCAAATAATATGAATATTAAAGGTGATGTTGAATATTACCTATTTCATGTAAGTGGAGACCCAAAATTCTTAAATTATTTTGGTTGGATTTTGACTAAATCTGCATAGTTTTGGAACCTCTGAAATTCTAAATATTTATATTTATAGGCACAGAATCAAAAGTTTCTGTGGGAATTTTAAATATAAAACTTGAGATGTACCCACCTCTCAATCAAACATTATCTCAAGAAGTCGTGAACACACAGGTAAATAATTCTTACTTTCTCTTCTTTGTGTATTTGCTTTCATAGCTAAATATTTGCCTGTTGATTGTAGACAATGATTTCTTCTTAGAAAATTATCATTTATTAGTTTTAAGCAAGAGAATGACAATATGATTATTATTAAAAACTTTTTGTCTTGGAAGAAGAAAGATTATTGGCTAATATATGTAGACTAGATTGTAGGCAGGGTGAGCAGGAACAGGGAAGTCAGGGGTGCCTGGGGGGGTGGCTCAGTTGAGCGCCAACTCTTGGTTTTGGCTCAGCTCATCTCACACTTGAGATGGAGCCCTGCGTGGCTCTGTGCCGACAGTGTAGAGCCTGCTTGGAATCCTCTCTCCTTCTCTCTCTGCTCCTCCTCAGCTGGTACACACACCTGTGTGTGTATGTACGCATGCATATGGTCTCTCTCAAAGTATATAAATAAAAATTAAAAGAAACCGGGAAATCAGGGGGCTCTTACAAATGATGGTGATGATGGTGGTTTAGATTAGGGTGGTGGTAGAGATGAAGAGAAGTATGTTGAATTGTTACGTATTTTATAGTATTTAATTAAAAAGATCTAGTAATTGAAAAAATATACTCTTTTAATTTCAAGCTTGCTTTGGAACGTCAGAAAACTGCAGAGAAAGAACGATTATTTCTTGTATATGCTAAGCAGTGGTGGAGAGAATATTTGCAAATTCGACCCTCACACAACTCACGGCTGGTTAAGATATTTGCACAGGTTTGTAAATTGCATTAGGAAAAGTTCACATCTGTATTTGAGATTTACTGTTGTATATGTAAATTTCATGTATATATAAATTTCATATATATATAAATTTTGTGTATGTAAATTTCATATATGTATAAAGTTGAATTTGTAAAATTATTTATTCCAGACAAATGAAAGTTTATTTGTAAAAATAGAATGCTGATTTTCTGATACTCTCTTTCACTAAGTAGGTGAGTGACATAACACAATCTTTGTTTAAATTTGGTATTCATTTTCAATTCCTTTCTAAAACCCTTTTTTAATGTATTTGATTTAAAATAGATGAAAACCCATTTTGTTTAACTTGGAGTGTGTCCCTGACTGATACTCAGGACTAAATGATTAACTACTAGGATACTTTGTTGTATTTGTTTTCATGTGCAGAATTGGGGCTTTGGATATATGTATTTAGACATATGTTGTTAGGGTATGTTTTTAAAAATAGTATTACGTGTAATCTATATAGCCAACACATCTAAGCTAGTAATATTTAACTGCAGCTTTTCAATTATATATCTCTGCCTGTTTTTCCTGTATCCTATGCCCATTTTCTCTCATTAACAAATCAGCATAAAATATATGGTCAGATTCTTATTTTTTGTAACTTCTGAGGAACTATTCAAATATTTTATACGTATTCAGTGTTATACAGATTGTTTTATATGAGTATAGTATAGTATTATTTTGACTAACATATTTCACATCCAGTGCATTTAATTTTATCCTACATAGTAAGATGGGCTAAGAGTGGTTCAGTTTCTAGATGGGGAGCTTAGGAATGGGAAAGTCTAGTTGATGAGTGGTGGAAATGAAGGAAATGTAAGGAAAAGTAAGAAATTTCTTACTTTTTGATAGCATTGTCTGTACATTGCTCGGAAGGTGAGGTAGCAGTAATGTCAGGATGGGGTGAAGAGAAACCAGTCAAAATATAACTGTCTCTCTACTGTCTATTTAGTCAGAGGTAAGGTTATTCATTGCCATGTGGAATCTGGGACCAGAGAATAAGACTGGGTAGGTGAGGAAGTGGATCAAAGAAATGGCAAATGAAAGAGGAGGAGGAAGAGGTTTAGATATGCAGTTAAGCGAATCAGGAAACGGGGATTTTCATGCAGAAAATATTACGTAAGCAAGTTCTTATCTCTTAAAATTCATTGTAAGAATATTTGAACCATATAAGATCATTTAGTCTCATGGTAACCATATGAGATTGTCAATTGGTCAGGCATTTCTGCTTTTGTAAAAATAAACAGTATAAGGGATAGAGGAGTGAAGAATCTTTCCTGAGATCAAATAGCACACGGAGACTTTATTACGTTGCACTTTTGACTAGTGCTTTTTTAGTTTGACACGACCACCTCTCTCTATATAGAGTAAATAAACTGTTTATCTTATTTAAATTCCCCAGAAGTGTTTTTTGCTCCTGCTTTCTATATTTGGCTAGATAGGAATTTAAGAAAACAACACCAGTTACTTAAGGCAGTCAATCCAATCACAAAAACTGTAGTTTTAAAAAAAAATTATTATATGTGGTCTGAAAATGAATTTCTATTGCTTTCAGACACAAGAAGAAATAGTTTACAACAGCACTTTCCTTATGCAGTGATGGAAATGTTCTCTGTGCTGCCCGATATGGTAGCCATTATGCTATTGAGCATGCAAAATGTGGTCAGTGAAATAAAGAACTGAATTTTAAATTTTATTTAATTTTAATTAAAATTTAAATAGCCACATAGGGTTGGTGGCATTCTTACTGGAAATTCTTTTTTATTTTATTTTATTTTTTTATTTTTTTATTTATTTCTAGGAGAGAGAGAGAGAGCGTGAGCAGGGGAGGGTCAGAGAGAGAGGGAGACACAGACTCTGAAACAGGCTCCAGGCTCTGAGCTGGCAGTCAGCACAGAGCCCGACGCGGGGCTCGAACCCACAAACCGCGAGATCATGACCTAAGTGAAAGTCGGACGCTTAGCTGACTAAGCCACCCAGGCGCCCTTCTTACTGGAAATTCTTAATGGACAGGGCAGGTTTAGAAGCTGAAATACTGAAATTTTCAAGACATTTAGTTTATAGGCATTTATAGGAAATACTGCTGTAATGGAACATAGGATATATTTGTAGTCTAAGCTGCTACTGTTGATCATTGATTTAGGGCAAACGCATCCATTTTTTTAGGTGCTCATGCCTTTCCTCCCTATTAGTAGAGTTGTAAAACTAGGACTAAATGACCTACTCATGAACTCAGTTAATTACCTTTATCATAACCAAACATCTGTAGAATCCTCAGTCATTACACATAATAATCGTTGTACTTCTCCTCCCTTCCTTGCTTGTTTAATAATAATAATAATAATAATTCACTTAATCATAGCTTTTAAATTTTTTAGTAACAGAAAAATTTTTAAAGAGCTATAGAAGTTGATCTTTAAGGCCATTAAATTTTAGGAAAATGTTATAAATCACTTGAGGATTGAGATTATCTTTTTAATATTAGATTGTGATTTCAGGACTTAATATTCTCATACTACCCCAGATTAATAATAATACTGAGTTAATGAGTTAATATAAAAGAAATCCAAGTAATAGTTTTCTACTTCTCTCTAAAATTAGAAATCATGATATTCTGTTTTAAAAATGAGTACCTTGTGGGGCACCTGGGTGGCTTATTTAGTTGAGAGTCAGACTCTTGGTTTTGGCTCAGGTCATGACCTCAGGGTTCCCCATGCTGGGCTCTTCACGCCTGCTTGATTCATTCTCTCTCTCTCTCTCTCCCCCCTCCTCCTCTATCCCCCCTTCCCTCTCTCTGTCTCCTTCCCTCCACTGTCTGGCCCTCCCCCAACTCACATGTGTGCACACTCTCTCTCTCTCAAAATAAATAAACAAACATTAAAAAAAAATGAGTACCTTGAAACACACCGTATGCTTAAATCTCCTCCCTTTTGCCTGTCTCTCTTCCTTAGTTTCTTTATCTGTCTTTGGTTCTTCATTCTATTTGAGTTTTTTTTTTTTTTTTTGCTGATTCCTAAGATAGCATGGGGGAGGTGGAGAATAAGAGACCACCATGGATATGTTTGAGCCAGGAGGTACTATGGGGTGGGAGAGGACAGGGAAAAAAAATCAGTACCTTTAAGAGTTGAGAACCATAGTGTGGAGTGAAATCATAATATTTTCCTCTGCATCATAAAAAAATTCACAGACTTTCTCACTATAATTAACTGAAAATAATAGGATTTTTTTTTCTTGCTAAAGTATGGGATTATATTGGAGAAGTGATGTTTTTGTGGTGTAGAAAGACATAATTCAAACAGATGATGTTTTTGTTGGCTGAATTAGGTCTTATTTCTGAGGAGTCTTGCCATGATAGAGAGTGTGGTCTTTGAATTTTGAATAGAAAGTAGACCTTTGACTTTGTCATCTCAATAATCATGAAGTTAGGGAAATGTGGGCTTTTGTAATGTTAACTCGACAAGCATAGTGGTGGACAGTCATCAGAGACTTTTGTATGCACTGTAGCTCTTTAGTTCAACTGCTGGGATATATCTTGTATTTGAAAGATGTTTTTCTAAAATGATTTTCAAAACTCTGCTTTCAGTTGATTTGATTAACTAATCATTGTTTCCTGTGGATCTCCAAGTATAATGTAAACAAACTAAAAATGAGTTCTGATAATTTGTTTTATCAGTAAATCAGAAAAGTTATTGTTTGAATACACAGTATTAAATTCTGTATGATATTATGGAAGAATACTTCGGCTTAGAGCCCGTCTCCATCCCCTACCCACCTGCCTATTCTGTTTTCAGAGGAGTTTTGTTTTGTTTTGCTTTATCGAGGAATAATTGGCAAATAAAATTGTATATATATAAAGTATATGACATGACTTGATATACATATATGTTGTGGAATAACTACCAAAATTAAGATAATGAACACATCTATCACCTCACATAATTAACTCTTTTTTTTGTGTGGTGAGGATCCTTAAAGTCTACTCTCAGCAACTTTCAAGTTAACTATATTAACTACTCACCATGCTATATATTAGATCCTCAGAACTTACTCTTGTTATAACTAAAAATTAGTACCCTTTAACCTATATCTCACCTATTCCTCTCTCTTCCCAACCATTCTGTTCTCTATATGTGTGAAATGAGCCTTTTTTTTTTTTTTTTTTAAAGCTTCTACATATAAGTGACAACCATCATACAAGATTTATCTTTCTCTGTTTGGCTTATTTCATTTGGCATGATACCCTTCAGATAGGTCCATGTTGTCACTAATGGCAGGATCTCCTTTGTTATAGCTGAATAATACTCTGTTGTATATGTAATATCACATTTTCTTTACTTATTCGTCCATTAAAGGAGATTTCAGTTTCCATATGTTGGATATTGTGAGTAATGCTGCAATGAATGAACATGGATATGCAGATATCTCTTTGAGATACTGATTTCAGTTGCTTCAGATATATGTCCAGTAGTGAGATTGCTGAATCACGAGAGTTCAAGTTCTTATTGTCAGACAGCTCAAGGTTCGAATCCCAGCTTTATTGGATAATACCTGTAGCTTCAGTTTCTTCATTTATAAAATGGAAACGATAAGAGATGTTAAAAGGACTAAAAAAAAATTGTATGCACAGCCCTCAGCTGCCTTAGTGCTGGATGCAGGGTCAGCACTCAGTAAGTGGTGGTGTCCAGAATTCTTTTATCCCATGTTAATAATAATCTAAGAAAGAGTGTTAAAATTGGGGATGATTAATCTTTCATTACAGTTAATGTTTTCCTCCTTTTTCCTCAGGATGAAAATGGGATAAATAGACCAGTCTGTTCCTATATTAAACCACTTCGAGCAGGGAGGCTTTTGGATACTCCAAGGCAAGCAGCCAGATTTGTTAATGTCCTTGGTTATGAAAGAGCCCCGGTTATTGGAGGAGGAGGTAAACAGGAACAGTGGTGCACTCTGCTGGCCTTTCTCTGTAGAAACAAGGTATCTTACATACGTAATAGAATTGAAAACAGTACATCATAGTTATTGTGAATTTATCGCATTTGAAAATAATTAACTTAGGAAAATGGATATATTATCCGTTTGAACTAGTCAGAATCTTTTGTTTTCAATACATAAAGAAAAAACTTGGCATCTTTATTTTCTTGTGTAGTTTCTTATTTGGTGTAATATTTTTGTGAGGTAGAGACAAGTCTCAAGTGTCAGAAATTAAGATATAGAGGTAAGTTAAACAGTGAATAGAGATGGTGCTGGGATTAGAACCACAGTCTTTCTAGTACCATTCATGTTAAAATCTACTTAAATGATACCTTTTTTAAAAAGAGAAAATGGCAGTCCAAAATGAATATGGAAAAAAATCTTGGATTGCATGATATATCGTTTAGTTTTGAATATAAGTGTATATTTAAGAATTTGTGTAGGGGCTCCTAGGTGGCTCAGTTGGTTGACCATCCAAGTTTGCCTCAGGTCATGATCTCACAGTTTGTGGGTTCCAGTCCCGCATTGGGCTCTGTGCTGACAATGTGGAGCCTGGAGCCTGCTTCAGATTCTGTCTTTCTCTCTGCCCCTCCCCCACTCATGTTCTGTCTGTCTGTCTCTCTCTCTCTCAAAAATAAACATTAAAATTTTCTTAAACACTTTGTTGATCTTTATTTAAAAAGAAAAGAATTTGTATACATTTATTGATGTTAAATGAATTGGTTTCAATAAACTAATTTTATAGATTATGTGATATTTCCTAATCTGTGTTCTACAAATGTTGGTATATAAAAATAAGACTATCTTTAGCATTCCAGTTCTATAGAAACAGAAAAAAAGAACTTTATTGTTTTGAAATAATTTTATTGTTTGAGGTTGTATAAATAGTATGAGTATTCATTCACAAGGCAAAGTTCATGCAGTAGAACCTATTTAGATTAGAGATTGATGTGTCAAAATGATTTTATCTTAAAAACAATTGAAAAGTTAAACATTATAGAAGAATTATTTTGATTTATTCTCAAGCTGTGGTTTCCAAAAGTTGTGTTTATGGATTTAGGCTTTTTGACTTCAAATATAGTAGGAATGGTATATATTTAAAATTATTATGTAAATCATTCTTTTGCAAAGCAAATAAGCACCCTTTTATTCACTATTTTGTTTACCTGAGTTTGTTTAAAGAGAAAGCATATCTTAAAATTAGAAGCTTAAAAATTATTGAAAAAGTTATTCTCGCACAAACAACAGCATTATAAGAGTAAAGGTGAAATTTCATCTCTTATATTTTTATATTTTTCTTCTGTGTATTTATCATTCTTTCCATAATTATAATAGAGATATAAATAAAATTTTGTGTCCTTTATAATTTAACATTATGCTATGAACATTTTTCCATGTGTTGCTACAATTTTTATGATCTCCATTTTTAAATGGTTGTACGAATAAAGTTTTCTTTAGTTGATATACAAAATCTGCTTAACTATTTTGCCATTGTAGGAACTATTCCTTTTGGCTACAGTAGGCTTGCTTCCAATTTTTTGATATACTTGTAAGTGAATTTTTCATTGAATATCTTCGGGAGTGTTATTACTTTTCTTTTGAATTTTTTAAACTATAAAATCTCAGTATAGAAATTATTGAGTGTAAAAGGTTGGATATTATATTTTTCAAAAAACCAATTTGATGATTTTAAAATGCTATTGGTTTTAGTATAGTTAATAAAAAACAACGGTGCAGAGCCACTAATATAAAATTTAGGGGGGAAATCATCTCCCATGCTAACACTGAACTTAATAGTTATTTTTGCTTGTGTGTATTACCCGTAGTCCTACACTTACCTACACTTAACTACATCTTCATATAATTGTAGCCTTATTGTTTATATCTTGATTTTTTAAATTATTTTCTATTTTTGTGGTTTTCATAAATTTTTGAATATTTGAGAGTAATAGAACATTATCAAAGAAAATTTAGAAAATAGAAGGGAAAATTATATATAACCTACCATAATTATTGCCATTGTTAGCCTTTTGTTGTTCTCTCACTCATTTTTCCTAATGTTTATTGCCTTAAGATGATCACATACAGATACAGTAACTCATTGTTTTGAGTATTTTCCCATGTATTTGCATTTCTTGATGTATTATTTGTCATCTTGTCTGTTCATGTCCTTTAGCTATTCATCTTTAAAGTCTTGCTGCTTGTCTTTCTATATTTTATGAGTTTTTATATACTTTTGATCTGAAAGCCCTCTCTTTTATAAGTTTTTTTAATGTTTATTTATTAGAGAGAGAGAGAGAGAGACACACAATGTAAGTGGGGTAGGGTCAGCTAGAGTGGGAGACACAAAATCTGAAGCAGGCTCCAGGCTCTGAGCTGTTAGCACAGAGCCTGATGTAGGGGCTCAAACTTCCGAACCGTGAGATTATGACCTGAGCCGAAATCAGTTGCTTAACTGAGCTACTCAGGGGCCCCTGAAAGCCCTCTCTTAAAGTATACATGTTATGACTATCAGATTTGTGAGCACTGACTGTGTAAGATAATTTAGGGTCTTCTAAAATTAGTGTATTTTGCCCCCTCACAATTGTTTCAGCATAACACTAGACTTATGATTAAAAGTGAAAAAATTAATACTACTTTTTAATTATAATTTTATATTTGAATATTGATGAGGAAACAACATGAAGGAATAAATACTTAATTCACTTCATTTTCTAGGGTGACTGTGAAGATCATGCTAACCTTCTGTGCAGTCTTCTTCTTGGATATGGATTAGAAGCCTTTGTCTGTGTTGGGACTAAGGCAAAAGGAATACCTCATGCATGGGTTATGACCTGTGGAACTGATGGAACTGTCACTTTTTGGGAGAGTTTAACAGGACACAGGTTTGTCAACTCAGCTTACAAGGATATTAAAATGAAAATATAAACGTTTTAAATTATAGACTATTTATATTGGTGATACTCAAAGGCACATACTCGTAATTTTTATTATTAAATCCGTTTTGATGACTACGTAAAAAATTACTTCAGTTAAAATAGCTGTTAAACTTGAAGAAAATTTGTATACCTAAAATATTCTTTACCAACTTGATTTTGGTAAAAACAAACAAACAATTACATTTTATTTATTTTTTTAAATTTACATCCAAGTTAGTATAGAGTGCAACAATGATTTCAGGAGTAGATTCCTTAATGCCCCTTACCCATTTAGCCCATCTTCCCTCCCACAACCCCTCCAGTAACCCTCTGTTCTCCATATTTAAGAGTCTCTTATGTTTTGTCCCCCTCCCTGTTTTTATATTATTTTTGCTTCCCTTCCCTTATGTTCATCTGTTCTGTGTCTTAAAGTCGTCATACGAGTGAAGTCATATGCTATTTGTCTTTCTCTGACTAATTTCGCTTAGCATAATACCCTCTAGGGGCGCCTGGGTGGCTTAGTCGGTTAAGCGTCCGACTTTAGCTTAGGTCATGATCTCGCGGTTCGTGGGTTCGGGCCCCGCGTTGGGCTCTGTGCTGACTGCCAGCTCAGAGCCTGGAGCCTGTTTCAGAGTCTGTCACTCCCTCTCTCTCTGACCCTCCCCTGCTCACGCTGTCTCTCTCTCTCTCTCTCTCCTAGAAATAAATAAAACATTAAAAAAAATTTTTGTTTTAAATACCCTCCAGTTCCATCCATGTAGTTGCACATGGCAAGATTTCATTCTTTTTGATTGCTGAGTAATACTCCATTGTATATATATACACCACATCTTCCTGAACCATTCATCCAGTTTATTTTTGCTTTTTTCCCTTGCCTCTGGAAATGTGTTGAGTAAGAAGTTGCTGTGGCAACGGTGAAGGAGGTTTTTGCCTGCTTTCTCCTCTAGGATCTTGATGGCTTCCTGTCTTATGTTTAGGTCTTTCATCCATTTTGAGTTTTTTTTGTGTATGGTATACAAAAGTGGTCCAGGTTCATTTTTCTGTGTGTTAATACTCCAGTTTTCCCAGCACCACTTGCTGAAGAGACTGTTTTTATTCCATTGGATACTCTTTCCTGTTTTGTCAAAGATTAGTTGGTAATACATTTATGGGTCCATTTCTAGGTTCTCTATTCTGTTCCATTGATCTGAGTGTCTGTTTTGTGCCAGTACCATACTGTCTTAATGGTTATAGCTTTGCAATACAGCTTGAAGTCTGGGATTGTGATGCCTGCAGCTTTGGTTTTCTTTTTCAAGATTGCTTTGGCTATTCGGAGTCACTTTTGGTTCCATACAAATTTTAGGATTGTTTGTTCTAGCTGTGTGAAGAATGTTGTTTGTTTGTTTTATAGTGATTGCATTGACTATATAGACTGCTTTGGGTAGTATTAACATTTTAACAACATTTGTTCTTCCTGTCCAGGAACATGGAATATTTTCCTATTTCTTTGTGTTTTCTTCACTTTCTTGCATAAGCTTTCTAGAGTAGTCAGTGTATACAGATTTTTCACCTCTTAGATTTATTCCTGGGTATCTTATGGTTTTTGGTGCAATTGTAAATGGGATTGATTTCCTTGATTTCTTTTTCTGTTGCTTCATTATTGGTGTGCAGGAACTGATTTCTGTGCAATTGATTTTATATCCTGCGACTTTGCTGAATTCATGGATTAGTTCTAGCAGTTTTTTGGTGGAATCTTTTGGGTTTTCCATATAGAGTATCATGTCATCTGTAAAAAGTGAAAGTTTGACCTCCTCCTGGCTGATTTGGATGCCTTTTATTTCTTTGCGTTATCTGATTGCTGAGGCTAAGACTTCCAGAAATACAGTGGCAAGAATGGATATTCCTGTCTTGTTCCTGACCTTAGGGGGAAGCTCTCAGTTTTTCCCCAGTGAGGATGATAGTAGCATTGGGTCTTTCATATATGGCTTTTATGATCTTGAGGTATGACCCTTCTACCCTACTTTCTTGAGGGTTTTTATCAAGAAAGGATGCTGTGTTTTGTCAAATGCTTTCTCTGCATCTATTGAGTATCATGTGGTTCTTGTCCTTTCTTTTATTAATGTGATGAATATCTTGATTTTTTTTTTTGTGCCTATTGAACCAGCCCTGCATCCCCAGTATAAATCCCACTTGGTCGTGGTGAATGATTTTTTTAATGTATGTTGGATCTGGTTGGCTTATATCTTGTTGAGGATTTTTGTGTCCATGTTCATCAGGGAAAGTGGTGTATAGTTCTCTTTTTTAGTGGGGTCTTAGTCTGGTTTTATAATTAAGGTAATGATGGCCTCATTGAAAGAGTTTGGAAGTTTTTCTTCCATTTCTATTTTTTGGAACAGCTTCAAGAGTATAGGTATTAACTCTTTAAATATTTGGTAGAATTCCCCTGGAAAGCCATCTCTCCCTGGACTCTTGTTTTTTTGGAAGATTTTTAACTACTAATTCAATTTCTTTACTGGTTATGGGTCTGTTACATTTTACTTTTAATTGTGTAATTGGATATGCTTTTTCTGGTGTTTTTCCGCAAGCCTAAAAATAAGCTCAGGTTGTAAATCATGATTCCTTTTGAAAATTTGAGGTCACCAACTACACATTGGTAAATCCACTGAATACTTTTTTCTTTTAAGTCCTTTTGTCTGTCATCAGATTTTTTAGAGTTCATTGCTTCTGTTCCCTAGGACCATTTCTTTCCTTAACTTATTCCATACCACTGTCTTTCAGCTTTCATTATTCCTGTTTGGCTATTCTTAATTTTCCTTTATCTTATCTTTAAATGTTGGAGTTCCTAAATGGTCATCCCTGGGCCATCTTATCATTTTTCTGAATTTTTCCCTGGTTGATCATCATTTTGGTTAGTTGTACCTAATAATGTGTAGTTAAATTATTTTAATTGTGTTATCTGAGATGAACATTTTTGATCTTTTTAAAAAAATTTTTTTATAGTTTATTGTTGAGACAGAGAGAGACTGAGCACGAGTGGGGGAGCGGTAGAGAGAGAGAGGGAGACACAGAATCTGAATCAGGCTCCAGGCTCTGAGCTGTCAGCACACAAACCATGAGATTGTGACCTGAGCCAAAGTCGGATGCTTAACTGACTGAGCCACCCAGGCACCCGAACATTTTTGATCTTAATGACTATTCATAGAATGTATTCTCATGTTAAGGTAGAGTTGATTTAAAAAAAATTTTTTTTTAATGTTTATTATTTATTTTTGAGAGAGAGAGAAAGAAAGAGAGAAAGAGCAGGAGCGGGGAAGAGAGAAAGAGAGAAAGAGCAGGAGCGGGGAAGGGGCAGAGAGAAAGGGTGACACAGAATCTGAAGCAGGCTTCAGGCTCTGAGCTGCAGCACAGAGCCCTGCATGGTGCTTGAACCCTTAAACCACGAAATCGTGACCTGAATTGAAGTCAGATGCTTAACCACCTGAGCCACCCAGGCACCCCTAAGTAGAGTTGATTTTTATATCATAATATGTGCCATACAATTATTGTATATAGAGTAATTAAATTACAATTTAATTTAAATATAAGAAGGAAAAACAAGTATTAGTCTTGGGAAATACTTATGGCCTTAAGTATTAGAATAATTTTCTTTCTCAATAAGATTCTGCCTTCTTAATTTTTAAGTTTTTATTATATAAAATTATGATTTATTTCTTTTAGGTATATCCACAAACCTGTCAATCCTGATGAATCTCCAGTTACTGAACAGCCCAAACCATTGTACCCATATCGAACAATTGGTTGTGTTTTCAATCATCAGATGTTCCTGGGAAATTGTCAGCCCTCTGACTCAGTAGAAATCTGTGTGTTTGATTTGAATGATGAATCCAAATGGAAACCCATGAGTGAAGAAGCAATCAAATCTGTGTGTGCTCCAGGAGCTACAACATCCCTTCCTCCCTTTCCCCCTCTATGTGCATCTACAATTGATGCTTCAGTAACAAGTAATGAAATAGAAATGCAGCTAAGGCTACTAGTGTCAGAACACAGAAAGGTAATTAACACTGACGTTTGTAGTTTTATGCATTTTTTCCAGTTTTTTATGTATTTAATAGTTTGGGGAGGGGGACAGGTGGGATAGTGCAGTCACTTTTATCCCTTAACAAAGCAAAGGGCAGCAGAGTTCTTGCCCTTAAGAAGCTTATAGTTTTGAAAGTCATGAGAGTTAAGTTCTAAGACTCAAAAATTTCCAAATATACCAGTACTTGTACTTTTTTTTCCTTTTATTTATTTTGAGAGAGGTGGAATCCCAAGCAGGCTCCATGCTGTCAGCACACAGCCCAATGCTGGACTTCCTCTCAAGAACCTTGAGATTAAGAGTTCTTGACCTGAGCTGAAATCAAGAGTCAGAGGCTTAACCAGCTGAGCCACCTAGCACTCCCACCAATACTTTTAGAGTTTATTACTTCCTTCTAGAAATGAAGAGTGGTGAAATAGTTCAGATTTTGTTCAATGCCACTGTTTTTTTTTTTGTTAAATACTTATTTATATTATTTCCCATGAAAATATTGTGTTAAAATTTTTCATATTCATTTTTTCCAGGTTGATTTTTTTTTCTTCCTATTACACTAACTTAGGTAGATGTAAAATTATATCCTTCCAGCTTTAATTTGCATTTCCCTGATTACTAATGATATCAGATCTCTTATTTATTAGCTATTTTGATTTCTTTTAAAGTACATTAAAGAAGACATAAAAAGCATTAATCATAAAGGAAAAGATTCATGTATTTTAAGAATCTTTGTTCATCAAAATAAACCAGTCAGAGACTGAAAAGAACAGTACTGGAATGGGAAAAAAAAGTTATTTGCAATACATATGACCAGTATAGGACTAGAATCCCAGAAGATTTATTTGTAATTAACCTTTTGGGATTCGCTAATAGATTCCCTACCTCTGGTGAATCCTCTTTTCTGCATTTCTTGAGGCCATCAAAAGCAAACTGATATATCAGATATGTTCTCTGGGCTCCCAGTTACTATAAGCTTTGGCCTCTAAAATCTGTAGTTCTTTGCTAAGTTAAAATCTGTACTTCTTTGCTAAGTCATCAAAGCATTTAAAAGTATATTTTGGAAAATATTTAGTCTGGCATTTGTAGTTCTTAGCAGTAGATTGGTCAAGGATCTAGTTCACTGTACTGAAAGCCCCTCATTATTGTTCCTTTCCCTCCATCACTCATTAGTGCCTTTTAGTTTTCTTAGGTTTTGTTTACAAACAAAACCAGTATTTTATTACATTGTAAGAATTTGAATGGAGAAGGAAAACACCCTGAGTGGCTCGGTTGGTTAAGCGTCCCACTCCATCTAAGCTCAGGTCATGATTTCATGGTTCATGAGTTGGAACCCCACCTCATGCTCTGTACTGACAGTGTGGAGCCTGCTTGGGATTCTCTCCGCTTCTCTCTCATAGCCTCTTCTCACTTTGTGTGGTCTCTCTCTCTCTCTCTCAAAATAAATAAACTTTAAAAAGTTGTTCTTTACTATTATTTTTTTAGTTTATTTGATTTATTTTGAGAGAGAGTACAAGTGCATGAGCAGGGGTGGGGCAGAGAGATGGAGAGAGAGAATCCAAGCAGGCTCTGCTCAGACACCCTGACTGGGTCTTAATCCTAGAACCTTGGGATCAGAACCTGAGCCAAAATAGAGAATCAGACACTTAATTGACTGAGCCACCCAGGTACTCCCCCACCCGAAGAAAGATAAAACTGAGCTAGATACCAGTGTTGATCACTAAGTTAATAGCGCCTATAAATCAGCAAGTGAGATTTACTTTTTTGCCACCAGAAACAGATAGATGATCTTGGACCTTTGGGGTCACTTGGAACCAGTTAAAACCTTGAATGCAAAATCAAGAAATGCTAGAGATATATTATGATAATAAACTATTTAAAATTTTGAGAAGTTTTTTATGTTTGTAACTGTTTTTAAAATGTCAGTGTGTCTAGATACTTGTAGTTTCTCTGATGCTGTAAATGAAGTCATAATTGCCTTCAACATTCCTAGAAACATGTTTGAGGCTCCCCAAGGGCCTATAGCATGTCTTTTTCACCTTTTTATCTCCTTACAGTATAAAAGTTAGTGTTTTTTTTTTTAAGAGTAAATGCTCAATAAATACTTGAATTTACTTATACATGCAATTTATTTGTTGACCTTTCTCAGTACAGTTGAATTTCTGTTGGAACAATTAAGCAGATTCAGTCGTATTATTTAAAGTCAAATAAAATGTGATTTCAAAATTCAGTGACACCATGTTTTTCATAGTAGGACTGTTCCATATTGTCTTTTCTAGTGGATATTAAGGAAGTATAGGATTTTGGAGCCTTTACTAACATCATTATACTGAAAATTTTTCATTTAGGGATGCCTGGGGAGCTCAGTTGATTGTGTATGACTCTTGATTTCAGCTCAGGTCATGATCTTGTGGTTTGTGAGATTGAGCCCCATGTTAGGCTCTGTGCTGACAGCATGGAGCCTGCTTGGGATTCTCACTCTGTCTCTATCTCTCACTCTCAAAATAAATAAATAAACTAAAAAAATTTTTTTTCTCTAAGAAGTAAAACCAGATACCTGTAATTCCTTTTATTTTTTATTTGTATGTGTCTTTATAATAATTACTAGAAAGCTTACAAAATTATGACAGGTTTTAAGAATTTTCTCTTGGCATATGTTAAGTCAACACTTAAAAATTGGTTTTTAAAATATTAGTGTGTTTCACCTTCTTTAATTTTTGTCTTTTGATTGTTATAGGATCTGGGTCTCACCACTGTTTGGGAAGACCAGCTTTCCTATCTCTTATCACCAGCTTTGGCTTCTTATGAATTTGAGCGCACAACAAGTATATCTGCAGGCAATGAAGAATTTCAAGATGCCATAAGGAGGGCTGTACCTGATGGTCACACATTTAAAGGGTTTCCAATACATTTTGTATATAGAAATGCAAGGCGTGCATTTGCCACATGTCTTCGGTAAGGTACAATTTTGAATTCATAAATGTTACTATTGGCTTAGCAATTTTAGCAATCTTTAGGAATGACTTTAGAATCACATGGTGAAATTTTATAATGATTTATTTGCCTTGCCACAGATTGTGAGTCTGAAATGTAGCTCTAGATAGTTGGATAATTTTCCCATTTATTTTGGTGCAATATCAGTTGAAGATTTCTAATCTTCTCTAGTGTAATTTTTTAAATTTATACACTGTGAGGAAATGTTCTATGATCTGAATAGCTTAACCAAAATTACAGGGCTGTTGGTAGCAGACAGGAGATTTAAAAATTATTTTAAATACTGACTTACTTGGAAAGAAATAAAACCTGTTTTTACTTCTTAATTGAATAAATTTTCTTTCTTCTCTAGGTCTCCTTTCTGTGAAGAAATAATTTGTTGCCGTGGAGACCAGGTGCGACTGGCAGTCCGTGTCCGAGTGTTTACTTACCCTGAATCTGCATGTGCTGTTTGGATCATGTTTGCTTGTAAATATCGCTCGGTATTATAGGACTAACCTTTCTATAAGAATACACCTGTGTTTTATTGAAATTTTACACATTGTACATTAGTAGTTATTTAGAGGTTCATTATTTTAAAAATCACATTCTGGCTTGGATGTCATATTTTATTATTGTATATACCTGACTGATAATGTTTGAGAAAAATCATGTGTATATTTAAAAATTAAGAATGAAAAACTTGTATAAATCTGAGTGGAATTTAGTATAAATTAAGTGTATATTATATTTTAATAAATGTTACTTTGTTTACAGTTATTCAGTAGTTTAAATATGAATATAAAACTTAACCCAGTTTTCTTTGCATTAACAGGCAATCAGAGAAATATTTATTTGTCTAAGGGTTTGAGCCATGGTAAATTCAATATAGATCATTATTTTTCATAGATCAAATGGGATTATTTTATATAAATTAGAAAATAACGTCATAACAGATATATTTATTAGATAGGTGGAAATACATTTTGATGAATTATCACTTTAGTGGTTTACCCATGGCTATAGGGATATTTGTGACTTTCCAGGGATTTATGGGAAGACTTCGATGCAATAATAGGAAAAACTAATACCAGAAAACATAAATATTAATAACAAAACAAACCTCACAGAAAAAGACATAATTTATACTTGTTTGATTCATCACAAAAATGAATTGAGTGTTTTAGAAAAAATTCATCATACTCTTTTGTTATGATTACTGATAAACTGTTTTCTAAAATTAAATTTTTTTATATTTTTTTAAGAGAGAGAGATAGAGTGCAGGCAGGGGAGGGGCAGAGAGGGAGACACAGAATCTGTAGCAGGCTCCAGGCTCTGAGCTGTCAGTACAAAGCCCAACACAGGGCTCAAACTCACGATCTGATCTATGAGATCATGACCTGAACTGAAGTCGGACGCTTAACAGAGCCACCCAGTTTTCTAATTATAGAAACGGGTTTTTCTAATTATAGAAACAGGGAGTTTTCTATAATTAATATTTGCAGTCTGTTGCTAATTTTCTGTAGTCTAAGGATTCATTATTAGCCTCTTCATGGATTCCATCTTATGAACCCACATTTTTCTTTTTTCCCTTTTTTCATTGTGATAAAAACATCAGTGTATATGTAACTACTCTAAATTAGAGAATTATTATGTGAGGCCATTGAAAAATAAGCATATGTGAGGAACTCCATGCTGACAACTTGTTTTAAAATTGAGCAAGTTTTCTTTTTGTTTCATAAATTTTTTTTAACATTTATTTTTGAGAGAGGGAGAGTGCGTGTGCGCAATCAAGCTGAGGCGGGTCAGAAAGAGAGAGGGAGACACAGAATCCAAAGCAGGTTCCATCCAGCCTCTGAGGTGTTAGCACAGAGCCCAACGTTGGGCTCATACTCATGAACTGCAAGATCATGACCTGAGCCAAAGTCAGATGCTTAACTTACTGAGCCACTCAGGTGCCCCTAAAATTGAGCAAGTTTTAAAAGTGAGCAATAGTGAACATTAAAAAAGCTATAGCAATTTGACTTTTTGTGAGAAGCTGCATGACGTGGTAGATTAACTGTCCATTCAGCACCTCTGTACACAGTTCTTGATTTGCTTGCTTTATCCATTGGCCTTAATTTTTAAGAAAGCACCTGTGCAAGTTTTTCTTTTTTCATCATTTTACTTCACCATTGCAAATAAAATGATTTAATGTTTTTAAAAAGAATTAAAATCTAGAGATACCCTAAAATTTACCTTTCGTTTATTTTTATATATAATAAATATTTATGACTTAGCTTGCTTAAAAAGTCTGAAAATATTCCTCTTCTCAATTTTCTTTTAAAACAATAATCAGATGTTTCTTGTGAGACTGTCACGATTTTATAGAGAATTAGCAAAATAAGAATTAAGACTTTTTTATTCTGTTGTCAAAATTACTCATAAAGCTGTCAATAGAGAAAATTGCTTATAATTTTCAACTTTTGGAACAAACTATGAGGCACATACTAAGAGGCAGACTATGTTAATTAAGATCAAGGCTGTGTTATCATTGATGCGGGCCTTCCTGCCTTACTGTACCAGAGTAACACATGTATTCATAAAGCACCTTTGATATAAATTCTAAAATAAATTTCTTTTTTATGCACTTTAATACAGTCTAGCATTAATAATTTTCTGTAAAGTTGGTTTACTTCAAGAGATTATTTCAGTGCATTTATCACTAGAATTCTACTCTTATTACTAATTTTCTTTTTAAAAATTAAATATATCTTGTCTATTTAGCTGTCATAAAAGTTGTTTTCCTATTAAAATTGTAGTTTTTTATATAATGTCTTTAATGTGTTCTTTTTGAAAATATGTACATTAATGCAGTTCTCTATACATATATATATGTGTGTATGTATAATACATAGGTGTATGTATTTAATAGAAGACTATCAGAAACCTAGAAATTTCATTACTCAAGCATGAACCTGTTGAATAAAATTGATTAAATTTAGTTCCAACCAAGTGAACACTTCAAGTGCTGTTAAATTTTTTTCTTGTATTGAGGTATACATTTTTTTTTTTTTTACAAATAGTTTATTGTCAAATTAGTTTCCACATAACACTCAGTGCTCATCCCCAAAGTGCCCTCCTCCATGCCCACCCCCCCTCCCCCCCACATCCATCAGTCCTCAGTTTTTGTCAGCATTCAAGAGTCTCTCATGGTTTGCCTCTCTCCCTTTCCCCCACCATTTCCGCCCTTCTTCTCCCCCTTGTTCCTCCGTCAAGTTCCTCCTAATCCTCCTATACGTGCAAACATATGATATTTGTCCTTCTCTGCCTGACTTATTTCGCTCAGCATAACACCCTCAAGGTCCATCCATGTTGCTACACATGGCCAGATTTCATTCTTTCTCATTGCCATGTAGTATTCCATGGTATAGATAAACCACATCTTGATCCATTCATCTGTTGATGGACACTTAGGCTCTTTCCATGTTTTAGCTATTGTGGAGAGTGCTGCTATGAACATTGGGGTACATGTGCTCCTATGCCTCAGCATTTCTGTATCCCTTGGGTAAATTCCTAGCAGTGCTATTGCTGGGTCATAAGGGAGTTCTATTGTTAGTTTCCTGAGGAACCTCCACACTGTTTTCCAGAGGGGCTGAGGTATACATTTTTTTATATGATCTGCAAAAACACATCAATAACCTGGCAGTTCTGGAAAGTACACATATTTGAAACTCAATTTTCTACTTTTTAACCAAGATAAGTTTTTCATTTTTTAACATTTTTTTAAATGTTTTATTTATTTTTGAGAGAGAGATAGAGACAGCATGAGCAGGGGAGGGTCAGAGAGAGAGGGAGACACAGAATCCGAAACAGGTTCCAGGCTCTGAGCTGGCAGTCAGCACAGAGCCCGATGCGGGGTTCGAACCTGTGAACTGTGAGATCATGACCTGAGCTAAAGTTGGACGCTTAACTGACTGAGCCACCCAGGCATCCCAACAAAGACGAGTTTTGAACCAAATGAAGAGTAGGCTTTATATTTGAAAAGACTATTGCTATTAAAGTAGTATTCTGTGCCATATAGCTAACCATCAGAAGGCATTAGTTACAAACCATCATTTTTTTAAACTAACCCATTCACTCTTCTGATTTCATGCTTACTAAATAGGAATTTAGTTTTGCTTAGACTATAGATAACAATTTCACACTTTCTACTTAACGGAGATAAGTACATGAATTAGATGATCTGTTTTTTAACGTGCCCTTAACTTTTTTTTTTTCCTTAAATGATTTATTGTTAAGTTGGTTTCCATATAACACCCAGTGCTCATCCCAACAAGTGTCCTCCCCCATGCCCATCACCCCTCTTCCCCTCTCCCCCACGTCTATCAGCCCTCAGTTTGTTCTCGGCATTCAAGAGTCTCCCATGGTTTGCCTCCCTCCCTCTCCCCCACTATTTTTTCCCTTCTCCCTTATTGTCCTCTGTTAAGTTCCTCCTAATCCACCTATACGTGCAAACATATGGTATCTGTCCCTCTCTGCCTTACTTATTTCGCTCAGCATAACACCCTCAAGTTCCATCCACGTTGCTACACATGGCCAGATTTCATTCTTTCTCATTGCCATGTAGTATTCCATTGTGTGGATAAACCGCATCTTCTTGATCCATTTGTCCGTTGATGGACACTTAGGCTCTTTCCATGTTTTGGCTATTGTTGAGAGTGCTGCTATGAACATTGGGGTACATGTGCCCCTATGCATCAGCATACCTGTATCCCTTGGGTAAATTCCTAGCAGTGCTACTGCTGGGTCATAGGGGAATTATATTGTTAATTTTTTGAGGAACCTCCATACTGTTTTCCAGAGGGGCTACACCATTTTACATTCCCACCAACAGTGCAAGAAGGTTTCCGTTTCTCCACATCCTCACCAGCATCTATAGTTTCCTGATTTGTTCATTTTAGCCACTCTGGCCAGTGTGAGGTGGTATCTCAGTGTGGTTTTGATTTGTATTTCCCTGATGATGAGGGACGCTGAATGTGCTCTTAACTTTTAAACCAATGGGAAAGTAGGATTGTTTTTGAGCTGTTGGTAGTTGAAAAATAATTTGGGATTAGCCAAAGCCTTTATAAAATATTAAAAACAAAATAGTCAAACATATAAACTAGAAGCCATCTAATTTTGAAGGACCTATCCTGTTTATAGCATATTCTACATTTCAAACACAAGTTCTCTTATAATCATTAATGCACTTAAATGTGGGTATTAAATGTTTAATATTTTCTTCTGAGATTTGGTTGGCATAGTCCTTGTAATTACATTTGACCTGTATTTGGTTTGTGTATTCACTACATGACACCAGTGTTGAAATAGTCATGGATATTAGAAGGGAAGATAGAAGAGGTTATTTTAGTTCACATCTAGTCTTAGGAATGATTTCTTTCTCTGATTCTATGGAATTTAGACTTGAACTAATACTCCAAAACAGACATTTCCTAGTGTTTTGAAGGTAGCTATTTTTTTTTTTTTTGTTTTGCATCTATAATTAGAGTTTTAAATACCTTTATACTTAGGCCATTTTTACATGTGATTTAATACTTCATGGCTTTGAATTACAGGATTTTGGACTTGAATGGAATCTTAGGTCTTCCAGTCCACTTAATTTATATAGTAATGAAATGGAGATCTAGAGAAGTGAAGTTCCATGTCCAAAGATAGTATTTCGAATAGCAGATCAGTTCTAGAGCCAAGTTCTGACTTTGAGTTTACTTCTTTCTGCTGTATGTCTATACAAAGTGAGTTTTTCTCTCTGGGGATGGCATTTCTAGGTATGACCAAGTAACTCACGTAGTATGGAAAATTTTCTTTTTAGTGGTTCTACCGAAGACAAAGGGATATGGAAGACACCAGTCTTTATGGTAGTTATCACATAATCTATCAAAAATTGCAGTAATATTTGGAGTATCAAGTCAATGTCTTAGAGGGACAGTGAGCTGATTGAGATTTCTTGTGGTGTAGAATTCAACTATTTGTATACTTAAGAGATTTAATAAATTGACATACAAGAGTAGTGCCCACTAACATGCATCTAGAAAATATTTCAGTCATATTCAGTCTAGTAGAGAATTAATTCTGAAATCCATTTATTTACAAATTAGTTGTTTAACTGGCCACTTGTTACTGAAATTTTAAAAATTCTTTTCCTTGTACGAAGTGTACAGTGAGGGAATGGGAGCGATGGGAGCACAAAACGTAAGATGAACATCAGAAGTTAAATCTATTTGATTTCAACATAAGCAAACAT